CTTACGCTGGCATCTGGGCACCTCTGAAATGAAGCAGCAAAAGCAGCTGTGGGTGATTCTCAGATTGCCAAGGGTGGGARATGCTTCCGTGATGCTCTTCTCAGCGCCCCTGATGGCGCCACTTATCTAGGGAAGCTTTGAATGGGGATAAAAATAAATCCCTTGTGTTTTCATTTCTGGCCACTTGAGCACATTGCTGCTTTGGAAACAGCGCTGCTGTTCACAGGAAGGTCGCAGTGCATCTCCTGAACACTTGTGCTTTCGCCAGGCCCCCAGTGGTGTCTTCAGCTGGGCAAGAGACACCTTTACATGCAGCAGGGCAGCAACGTGTTTACCAAAACCCTGCACTGTTGTTATATATGTTGCACCAGGAGGCAGCTTGGTGCTTCTTGGTGTCTCTCATTTATTGCTTKGCTTTGTGGGACAGCGCGGTCCCCATCGCGCGCTAATGAGAGCCACCGAGATGAGCACCAAACGAACCTGTGTCCCTCCGAAGGCTCTGGGAATTGCTGCACCATTGGCTTTCTGGAGATTGCCGTGGGAATTGCTGGTCCATTGGCTTTGGTCCTTTGGAAATTCGTCTGCTTGTGCTGGTGACAAAGCCGTTGACTTGCAACCCCCTTTTCCCTTGTTATCCCGGCCCTACAGGCTCCAGTGGGAGAAGGGGCTGGACTTTGTCCAATCTCCTGTTGCTCCTGGAACCCCCTGGTGCTGGCACAGGGTCTTTCACTGCAGGGACAGTGGGTAACTGCTGGGAACGCTCGTTTGCTGCAGCGGGTGGGCACATAGCTGCCCCTCGGATCTGCTTTGGGGTCACAGAGACACAGGAGATCTGCGTGGTGAACAGAACAAGCCTAGTATAGAGACAGGCACCCGCCATCTCCTGCTCGGTGCCTCCTCCGCAGTCACAAATCCCCTCCTTCCTGTTCTGAGAGGCAAATCTGTGCTGCTGAAAGGGGCAGGAACAAGGGCCAGAGCTGCCAGATACCTTGAGCTCACATGGAACGTGTGCAGCARTGCACATAGTGACTAGTTTCAGGGAACATCAACATTTATTGTCCCTTGAACTGAAGAGTGACACAGACAAAGCAGCGTCAATATTTCTCTCTCGGGTTAATACATTTTTACATCCACCTCAACATGTATCAATATGTGTTTCTTTATCTTCTTATGTTCTTGAATTGCAGGGAAAAGGGAGAAGGGGGGGACTTACCTACATTAGTATTCCAGACCTCATCCAATGCTTGATCCCTCTCGGAGCACACTGCAGTCCTCACTCGAGCAGGACTTGCTGACGGCTGCGGCTCTCCATGCGCTAAGGAGGACAGCGGGAGTGAGGGGCTGGGGGCAGATGTAGGGTGAGCTGTCACCAGCACGGGAGCAGAGGAACCATTGCTTGGCTTTTACAGACCAGGTTCTTGGTGGGGCTCTCGGTGGGAGCGCGTGGCTGAAGGATGCGCCCAGGTGCTGACCGCAGGGGCGACGTGCAAGGCAGGACGTCACAAGGTTTGACTCTCAGGTCTCGCCGTGAGTCACTGCCTGCAAAACGGTGATGCTGACGTTGAGGAGCGACATCGTGACATTGTTGGGAACCTTGTGTCATGCTCGTTTCTTTCAGAAAGCCTCTGATTTCTKCAGCTTTTGGCATCTGATTTCCCTCTGATCCAATGTTTATGGGTGTTCTCTAACACGCAGGGAATACAGGGCCTCCCACACGTGGGCCAGGCAGCAAGTGGCTGTGGGGAAGGGAGAGGCTCTCCCTCGTATCCTGTGCTGTCCCCACCGTGGTGCTGGTCCCAGGGCGTGGAGAACAAGACGACAGAGCTGTCCCAGACAGATGAGGGCAAAAGGACATAGAGAAGGTGGTACAAAGGTGTCTGTATTGCCCGTGTTTATTGCCATTTGCTTTTTTGGAAGGGCTAAAAGGCCTYTGTGGAGACGCACGTTGCTTCGCAAGGGTGAGCTCAACGCGGCGGGGCAGGCTTGGCCCTTCCCTCCTTTGGGAGCTGGCAAGACCGGCAGGGAGGCCTTGCCAAGCAGAGGGCATCAGTGTCACACTCCACCGCTGAGCACAAAGCCAGGCCCAGGCTGCTCATGTGAAGCGAGGGCTTCCAGGGCAGCCCTCCCTGTGAACCAGCTGCGCTGCTGCCGCACTCGACTCCCAGCTCCGCTCACCATATGCTCCTGTTCCACCAGCAATTGCCATTTAAATGTCAGTTTACAAGCAGATGTTGAGAACCCTGCTCTGCACCATTCGGTTAATCGCGGGAACAAACAAAGTGTGGGATTTAACCCTGCTGAGGCTAGCGGGGAGCAGGGCTGTGGGCGCTGTGACGGGGAGCCCGTCCTCAAGGACACGTGTGGGTGCTGCCACCCAGGGATGCTCCTTATGTGTCCTGGAGAGATCCCACGTTTCCTGGGTTGCCTGTGGGTGGCTAGGAGGGTGTATGGGAATTCTGGACTATAAAATGGGACAGATGTACATGCTCGTGTGCAGGGAAAATAGACTGAAACTCTGCTTGAGAGGAGAAGCAGCAGAACGRGGAAGGACGGAGAAGGAGCCCTCTGCACTCAGCCAGACATTAGCATGTGTTTAAAATCCTTCCCAATAAAGTTCATAATGAATTTAATTCAGTCCCCTATGGCCCAGAGGAATGTTCTGAGCAATAAAAAAGTATTGTTAAGGGAGCGATGACTGCCAAACGCCCATTCCGTGCCAGTGATGCATATTCACATTATTGGCACTTAAATGCCGGGTTTGCTTTACTACCTAACTGATCCTTTGTCGCATATTAAGAATTAATATCCTAAGACCCACATTTGAGAAGCTGCAATAACAGTTCCAATTTAAATCATTGTTATATTTGTACTTTTTTTTTTCTTCTTGAAGAGCGTTTTTTATTTGATTTTAGGCAAATTAATGACTGAATGTGACTTTYCCTGTTTTGGGTGAGCTATTTCATGGCTGCCTCATGACCTAACTTTAAAAATGGTTCTAATCAATCTCTTAACACTCTTCATGTCTCCTACGTTATTTTTTTTAATTACCTTGAACTATCCGCATCAACATTAAGTGAGTTATAAGCTCCAATGCTTACTTAAAGGTGGGGTGTATTCACTTGGATAACCCAGGGTCTCCTGGCTTCAGCCTGCRCAGCACAAGGGGCTTTTGCACATTCAACCTTGCAGAGCTGGAACACCTTGCAAAGGGGTGTTGGAAACTGCAAGCTCCAGCGATGGAAGCTGAGGAGCCCCGGCGTTCCCGTGTTTATCAACAGCATTAACACGTGCAGGATAAATGTGTGCTCTYGTCTAGGAGCTGGTGCCACTTCAGCGCATTCGCCAGGAAAACTGAAAAAAAATGGCATTAGCTTTCAGTTTTAGAAGTGCAAGGGGAAGCTGGATGTGAGACAAACGTGTAGGAGTTAATTCCTCGCAGGCAGCTTGGCACCGGGGTCTAGGGGAGAACGCGTCAGTGCTGGCAGAAGGCGCAGTCTGGTTTTTGGGCAAGTGGGTTGAAAGTTTTTTTAGCATCTTCTGCATATTACAAAAAACAAGATTTCTAGAACCTGCKTTGAAGTTCCAATCGACTGCAGAGTGATTCAGTCCAAGTATGTAAGATGCTACGGTCTGAGTAAAACCAGAAAGACCTTTCTTTGATATACTTATGTTTGTGGGAACTGTTGGAGGAAAAAAAAAAACCCTCTTTTTCTTCTTTTTGCCAGCATGTTTATTTACATGATGCAGCTCCTTTAAAACAATGAGTGTTTTTTCAAGGGTAAAAATGAGCAGCTACTCATCTCTGGAAAAAATGCAACGTTTATGAAGACAACTGCTCCCTCGCCACGAGGACCAAGCACCCACCCCTGTACTATGCAAGGGCACCCATTTTTTCACTGGCTGTGCACACAGCCAAACACTAACTTCTCCACAACAAAAATGTTTCAAAAATATAAGGGGAATCTTAAACACCTGGCAACTGGAACTGAAGAGGGTCAGCAGCAAAATAAAATCCAGACAGAAAAAATCAGACCTCTCAGCACACTCTAGTTGGGCTTAAAGTGAGGGCATGGACAGTTTGCTCAGTTTTTCACAACAGCTCTTGTAATTTAGGAAGGTGTATATTGATATCTTTTAATTAAGAGCAAAGGTTTATTTACAAAATAGAGCTTTTTTCTTCTCGCTGAAAGCAATAATCAAGTAAAACCTGAGAGGCTTTTGCAGGCCTGTTTGGTGGCTATCAATATTTAAGCCCCCACCAAACCCGGAGCACCCCTTGGCTCCCTGCTCATCAGTCCCATGCCAGGACAACCACCCCTGTGTCTGCTAGGCTGACGGCAGAGAAAAACCTCTGAAGACTGGAAAACCCGCAGGACTYGGAGCTCAAAGAGATGCTCAGCTAAGCCAAGGGAAGAGGATGAAAGAGGGACTGGGGCTAAGGAGAATTGCAGGAGGTAAAGAGCAGGTAATGGTAAAGATAAATGCATTTATCTTTTCCTTTGCTTTTAGCCTGCTAAAACAGGCTTCTAGGTCTTTTTTTCCCCCCAAGCCTGATATGCCAGTGTCATATGTTCAAATGCTACTTGCTCATCCTTCCAAAGAGTATGCTATTATCTAAAATAATGCACTTCAAAATGAAATGTTGTATTACGTGACTGAGGAAGCCAGGGATCAGTAAGAAGTCTTCTGTTTGGTATTACAACAGTTAAGCCAAATATTTGCTAACTCCATTATGACTTTCAGGAAGAAAATTTATTTTTAAAAATAATTGAAATTTCACATGTTTTTGCTTCATGGGGGTTGAGATTAGAGGGAACTTTAGCATAGGCCTGGTAGTTTCAAACTCATCTTTTGTCTTCTGCCCTCACTCTTCTTTACCTTCATTTCTTCCCTCCAGCAAAGTATCATTTTCTGTCTTGAAAAAAAACACGAATTAGAAGAATTGCGTTCCTCTAATAGTCTGTCTAATGGGGGTGTGATACGAAACCTGTCTTAYTCCAGACAGGTAAGCGTAGCCGTGGCTTTGTGCATCGGTGACCAAAGCCAGGCTGTGCGGGCGGTTGTGGGGCCAGGAAAGGCTGYAGCGGCTGTGAGCGGCGCCCTGCTGTCCTGCTCCCCCGGCCCTTCGGACACGGCCYGGCTGTTGCGGAGAGAAAAACAGAGTGGAAAGAGCGACCTGTGGAACGCGCTTCTGCTTTGGAAGTAGCGCTCTGGGGAGGGGGCACTGAGCAGGACTTACTCGTTCACCATGTGGTCCTGCGCGGCATCCAGCTTTGGAGTAGCCCATGGCACGAGGAGCTGCGAGGAGGGTGTCCCGGCGTCCGTCCGCTCCGGTCACCCCCTCCGGAACGCGCTCCGTGATGCGGCGACACGCAGTTATCTTGCAGGTGGAAATACAAAGTGGTCGGGCATCACATTTTGAAGCATACTTTATAATTTAAAGCTGCTTACACTTCCAYGGCTAGGCTTAGGGTTTTCTTTTCTCAATTACATTCATCATTTAATTCCACTGGAATTTGGTTTTTAAGAAAGCCCAACATATCTTAATTACCATAGAAAGATCCGTACATATTTTACTTAAAAATATCTTCTGTAAGAGGAAATTTACCAAAAATAACACCAAATATATTATTATGCATACTTTTTTTTTTTTGTAATGTACAAACAAGAATCTGATCTCTTCTGGGTATTGYCTGATCTAATATGGCTATAGTTTGTTGTTTATTTTGTTTGTTTTCTTAAATAAAGGGTAAAACATAAGAAATATAAAAAACACACAAAAAACCCAAAAATCCATTCTTTCCAAAGATACAAGTACCAGTGAAAGAACACTTGGAAAATTAATAAAYGACGGTAGGTACAAAGAAACACCATCCAAGCAGTATGTAGTCTTCACCCCAGCACGCTGCTGCACTGACCTTGGAACAATTATTAAAAAAAACCCAACCAATCCCAAACGCTACCGGCAGAAAAAACTGTCAAGCAAAACCACTGAAGAATCGGTACTATTTCCTAACAAGTAAGTGCATAAGTGATGCTAAATATTTGATGTGTTATGTTTCTCTGTGGCCCCGCTGCCCACCCACGCTCCTTGTCGCTCTTTCCATGCGCAGGGCTCATCGTGGCCACGCTGGCCGTGTGCTGGCTGCCCAACCAGGTGCGCAGGATCATGGCCGCGGCGAAGCCCAAGCAGGACTGGACGGTGCCCTACTTCCACGCGTACATCACGCTGCTGCCCGTGGCCGACACCTTCTTCTACCTGAGCTCGGTGGTGAACCCGCTGCTCTACAACGTGTCGTCGCGGCAGTTCCGCCGCGTCTTCGTGCAGGTGCTGCGCTGCCGCCTGGCGCTCGAGCACGCCGGCAAGGAGCGCCTGCGGCGGGCCCGTCCCAGCGCCGCCAGCAGCGCCCGCTCGCTGCGCCCGCTCGTCGGCAGGGCACCCCAGGGCGGCTCTTCCAGCGCCAGCGCCAACGGGCTCTTCCTGAGCACCTTCTCAAGAGCTTCCAAGGYGGGATGTGGCCAGCGGGAGCCGTCYCCTGGCTCGCTGGAGCCCAGCGAGGAGCGAGCGATGCTGGAGAGCGGCTCGGAGCCCGGCGCCGAGGCRCACAACGGCCGGTGCGAACACGAGATGTGACTTGGCAACGTCAGTGATCAGTAAWGAACCGAAAAGCACAGAAATTAACATGACTGGGAACTGACCGCATCTTAAAAGTATTATCACCGCTAGATTTGTTTCCAAATATGCAAAAAAAAGCAGGCGTTCTGTATGCTGCTGTTGGGACTCCTCATTTTTCAGTGCACACTGGAAATTCAATCTGCTAACTGCATTCATCAGCTGCCCAAAACACCAGCCCCTCTCTTCCCCAAACCACCGAACTCCCCCTCTTTTTTCATAGGGATTTGGAAGCAAATAGAAAATAGCTGCAGTGTCTTTGAGGAAAGGAGGAGACGCTCTGGTGAGAGCACACGCTCTGCTSCAAGGTTAGCGCTGCAAAGACGCAAGAGGCAGCGCGAGGAGCAGCACGGTGGTCGCCACGCGCGCCCTGGGCGTCGCGCCCGCGTTCCCTCTCTTCTTGGGCCGGGGCCCGTTGCAGAGCGGCGTGTTGCAGCAGCTGATGCAGACAGAGTTCACCTTCCCCGGCGAGCAGAAGGACTGGTAGCCGGCGGAGGCGATGAGGCAGGCGGCCGAGGACGCGCACGACTTGCGGTACATGATTCCTGGGACACAGAACAAAGGTGACTTAGCTTGGCAGAAACTTGCTCTTATTTTTACCATAGGAATCACGTTTGAAAGCTCCTGGGTCTAGCAGCCCTAGGGACTCAGCCACACACCTTAGTTACCATATGACAAAGTTCTGCCCTGCTAGGAGAACCACTCTGGTTTGGGATTTTTCCTTTTTTTCCCTTCCTTTTTTTTGAAGTCTGGTTGCAACCAAAATAAATTCTAAACTTGATTCATATGCCTTCTATCACATTGCGTATTTTATAAGCAGAAACTCTTACCTTTTGGAATAACGTTGAAGGAACTAAAATTAAAATGGAATTAGTTTGAAAATGAGTCTGGTTTCTCTTGCTAAACACACCTGAGTTGTCTTAGAGTATGTCTACAAAATCAGTTTTCTATGCTGTTGATTTATGTGTGTGTGTGTGTGTGTGTGTGTGTGTGTGTGTGTATATATATATATATTTCCTTTGCAGCACAACTTAAAGCAAAACTTGAAGGAAAAACACACTTTCCCAGGAAATGTTAGGTCTTGCTACCTTTGGAGTTCTGAAAAGCAAAATAAACAAAAAAGCTCACCTTTTTTTCTAAAAGTTGGAAGTGCCCCTTTTAAAATCTGTTTTCTGAAATGGTTTTCATCTGAAGAAACTGAGCACTTCCCAATGCACACAGCTGTTGCTTTAAAATGTTTCATAAAGCTTGTAAAACACGGGTGTATTCCCCCCTTCCCGGGGGAACTAGCTGTGCTGGTTCCACCTCTCATTACTCTGAAATTTTCCTGCAAATGATACACTAGAAACTGGTGTATTACCAGTACATAACACACACATACACAGGGGAGATTTGCCCATGTTACTTCAGGGAGTGGGACACCGAGAGGTAAATATATTTCTATGGGTAATAACAAAACTTTTGAGAATCCACATTCTAGAACAAGTGTGATTTTCCTTGTATAGGACATGGCCACAGGATTCCCATGAAGAATATGGATATCTCACAGCACAGCTCCACTGAGTTCTTAAATACACGGTTATAAAGACTGATTTGGAGGGAATGAGGTAGGATATGCCCTGTGAGTGCTGAATTTACAGTGCATAATACGTTTATTTGTTAAATCCCCGGGGAATTAGGAAGTAAACCTGATGGCACCTGCAGACTAGCTGTATTTCTGCAGCAGCACCTGCCCTGCGTCACTAATGGCTGTGCAGAGCAGCAGAGCGCTGGCTATTTGGGTTACATGCGCATGGAAGGGTTTCCTGGCTTCCAAAGATTTTAATTAAAGCAATTCCCTTACATGGTCGCAGCACTTCTGCCATACCAGCAGTGCAGGGACTTCCTTCCCGTGTGTCCTTCCTCCCCCCACACCTGAGCTCTGAAAGGTGGTTCAAACTATTTATCTAGTTCAAATTTAAAGGCACCTACAGAGCCAGTGTTAAATCTTCCTCGGACTCCAGCGAGCTCCAGTCCATCAGCCTGGCAGGCAGGCTCTGTTTGAGGGAGGATGAGGAGCTGCAGGCTGCTCTGCCTCCGCAGCACAGGCGGGCACATGGCGGCACAGGCTCCGGTTTGCAGCAGCAGAGCTGGGTTTCTCTGGCCCAGCCACCGCTGCCAAGGGGCCTCGACCACGTTGACACCGTCAGGTTCGTGCACTGAAATCCCAGCTTCCATTTCCCACAAAGTCCTTTGTCCATGTTTCTTCCCCAGTTTTCCAAGGGCAGAGACAAACGTCACCCTTCCAATGGCCAGGATTAGCTTGCAGCCATCCTTTGCCCTTGCATGCCATAAAACTCAGCCCAGTGGTTGTTCCTTCCTCTCCAAAGCAGCACCCAGCTCTTTGCACAGGGCACTTCCCTGCACGCACAGACACCCAGCTCAGCCTTCCAGACAAATCTGCCCTTCCAGACTTCTCTTCTCCAGGATAAATTTCACAGAACAATCCCGAGCTCTTTTAGAAATCAAAACATAATATTCCTTTACACACTGATATTTTATAACTTCTGCATTGTACTTTCATGCACAGATGGACCATGTCTGTGCCCACACTGAAAGAACACTCTGGCAAGTAACAAATCCCATTGCAATGCTTCTCCTGCAGCTTTTCTGTACAAATATTTCTTCTAATAGCAAATTTCACTCCTAAATGATTGTTTATTCTCATTCCCAGCTACAGTAATCAGACTTGTAATAAGATTTTTAACATTAAGGAAAAAAAAAGTCAGCACTTTATCAGGTTTGAGATATCTGCTTGACTAAAGGCACTCCACATCCAAGGGTTTTTTTCTTTGAGTACTGATGGAGCTTTTGGAGCTTGCGAATCAGCTGCTATTATACACTAATTGCGTTTCCAAGATTATAAGAACCATCATGTATAAGCTGTATTTGATCAGGATAAAAAGGCTGTGCTCTTTTTTTCCCCCCTGTGACCCTGCCATTTCTTTATGGTTAGCTATAAGGAAGAAAGACACAGAAGATTAATGGGAAAAAAAAAAAAAGTGTTATCACCAGAAGAGCATCTTAGTTATTTTTATAACATAACAGCCACGTCCTCACGTGTTTTCATGGTGAGTGCTGGAAAGGCATGACACCCCAAACAGTAAGAACTAAATAGTCACAGGGACACTCCCCTTCTCCCCATCAACCTGGGATCCTGATTGTGGTAGGAAACTAGCACAAGTGCCATCCATGTTGCAGTGCCAGGGGCAGCACTGGCCTCGCTCCAAYAAACAGGCTCATACTCCCTGCTTACCGAGTTCAGCTGGGGAATAAGCCAGCAGCTTCGCTTCTGGATTTTCTAGCTCTAGAAGATTAATTTCTCTTATGCCTCGAGGGTGTCTTTCCTCMAGACTCCTTGCTTAAGTGGCAGAAAGGGAGGTGGTTTATTGTGCTGCTGAGCCAGTTTTGAATCTATTTCTGAGATCTTCCTCAGCTATTTGCCAYGAGCAGGCTGACCTGCAGATAACGCTGCAAAGTGGTTATCTGCCTCGTGAGGTACATACCATGGATGGTACTGCTCATTATGACTGTGCAATCAATTTGACATATACATTAATACATCACCTAGAAATATAGTTGCCAAACTTCCCTGGGAGCTGTTCTCCTACCTCGGTTTGCTCCAAGCTGCTTGCTTGGYGAGCAGACTGTATTCTTCACATTAAGATTTTGCTGGGATGGAATCATTGAAACCTCACCATCCAACGCYAAGTATTTTTACAGCCCAGTCTCTTGACCGGCGAGTACTGAACAAATAATTCAGCCTTTTCCAATGATTCAACAGAGCCCTGTCTGGACTGTGGGTTCTGCCTCTGCATGGGTACTGTAAAGAAGTTTTKCTATGAAGTCCTTTATTCATTTTGTCCCCACATTTGTGGGCTTGGCTAAAGCTGTAGTTCAAATGCTAGTAGTTCTTACAAGAGGATTAACAGAGGAAGGCATCTGTGTGAAAATACAGTAGTATTCCACCTTTTCTTCTTCCCCAGGCACCTAGCATAAGTACATTATTAAGAAAGCTTTGGGCTTAAAGCAAGCTTTGAAAATTTACTTGGCCATCCTCATACCTTTCTCTGCCCCATTTAGGATCACACATTTAGAGAGCATAAAGACCTACAAACTACCATTTCTGCCCATTTCTGCACAACTTCTATCTCATTCCATACACTGAAATGCTGAAGGTAAAAGTCTTAAAGCTTTTCTATTACTAAAAAAAAAAAAAAAAAAAGTTGTCTAGAACCATTCCACGCAATTCCACAGAACTGCCAAACTCCAAATCTCTGCCTAGCCACTGTCTACTCTAGCGCATCTAAACCCTGGCACTCAGCTTTAGCCACATGCAGATCCATTTAGTCTTGACAGTAATAAACAATTCATGCCATAATTTATTTAAACCCCAAACCCAAGACTTCTTCCATCCACCCTGTCTGCTGAGCCAAGTACATGTTCTCTAGACACTAGGTAACAGCTTGTGACTGGAACAACCAAAAAAAAAAGTGACATTACAGATGCTTCCTATTCTGTGTATACAGAGTAATCACTAGCAGATCCAGCCTGATTTTCTTACTGCTTGAAAATAACCTTATTAAGCATCTCAAATTCTTCTAGTTATAACAAGGAAAACAGAGCAAGTGTGGGCATGACTCCAACCTAACAGCCCAGTGTAACGCTGAGAATGACTAGCTTTAGTTCACACCTGTACTCTCAAGGCTCCTTTAGTAAAATGTACAAAGAATATTGGCAATAGGCAACTAAGATACCAGCTCCTGTGTCAAGGATCTGATTATCAAAGTCTATGGTCTTTTGGGTTCAACGAAAGAGCATTGTACTGCCCACAAACCACTGTCCCTCYGGGCATATGAGTGAGCAAAGATGAGGATGTAGGCTTATAACTTAATGTGACCCAGTGCCGGGGTCTTGGGAAAGAGCCCGTTTTGGAAGCRCGAGCTGTAGGACAAGCTGCTGCACTTGCTGTTGTGCAGAGTCCTCCGGGCTTCTCAGCCAGAAGCAATAACAGCTCTGAGATGTGGCCTTACCCTGAGGAGCTAGTGTTTACTATAACAAACAAACAAAAAAAATACAGTAACAACAAAAAAAACCCACTTCCATGTTTCCTCCAAGGAAAAGGAAGAAAACTCAACAACAGGTGACAGTTTTAGACCACACAGGATGAAAGTTGAGATTGTAAGTTTTAGAGCATCCTTATACTCTAAATATCCTTGTACGTGTCTTATTTTGCTAGATGTACAAATACCTTGTAGGGAAATGTAGAAGGCATCTACAGGTGAGACGACAGACCACAGTCCAACTTTCTATGGATTCCTATGGATTCAGTCCTTGGTTCCTTTGCGGCATTCCCATCCCCTTCCTGCCTGCCTGTATTCCCTCAGAAAAATCTGGTAAGTATTTGCTGCAGTTCACAATGTAGCACACACAGCCCGTGTGAAACGTGTCACAGTCATCCGAGCTGTYGTATGCTCTCCTGCTTTGCATGTTTCTTGTTTTGGAT